GGGGGCTGTGTAATGGTTCTGATGTCTAGCATCTAGTTATATGGTTCTAATGTCTAGCATCCTGTTATATGGTTCTACATGTTATTGCCTGAAAAAATGTGAGAGGGGGGCGCTGTGAGGTGTGTGGGAGGAGAGAACGAGGAAGAGCAGGCAGTTGTTGGTGTTGTTGTGGAGTGTTGAATGTTGGGAGTTCAAAAGAGCTCATTAGCGTGTGCTGTGGCTGAAACAACAGCATGGAAGCCTGTTAAGTTATTACAAATAAAAGGACATTGATACCACAAGAACGTCTGGCTGCTTGTGTAGGAACGGAGAGTATTACAATACTGTGAAAACAGGTGTGCAGGATTAAGGTGCAGGTGAAACCACTGTGCTAGATGAGGTAAACTGGAGGCAGGGAGGGACAGGATCATGACACTGTGCAGAGATTAAGCAAAATTAACCCTTGCCTGCATCCCCCCTTTGCCCATGTGAGCTCTTCCAGGTCTTATCTTGGCTAAGAAAGAGAAGAGTGCACATGGCAAACACAATTTATTACCAGGGCCACTCCACAAAAAGGTGATAAATTTAGCTCCTGACCATCGCCAGAGTTTGTGCTGCTGAGGGGCAGAAAGTAACTGCAGAGTTGTGAGGTCAACCAGCGAGTCTAATGTTGTATTTGGGAAGTCCTCAGTCAGTGTGCTGGTGACAAACCTCACCCAGAAGAACCTGCTTCCCTTGGCTCTTGTCTGGATCAGGTCCCAACCCTCAGCGGCTAATCGGAGCCTCCGACATGTGTCGACAGGGTGACAGAAGTACAAGGCTTCACCAACGCCCAGAAGGACTAGTACTTCAGGAGGAGGTCGGGTGATGAAGACCTGTCCAGAAGGATCATCTCCCACATCAAGGCCTCCAGGAGCCTCCACATCATGTGTCAAGTCCCCGTCTTCTGCTGGATTGCTGCTACAGTTCTGGAGCACATATTGACTACAGAGCAGAGAGGAGAGCTGCCCAAGATAATATATAACGTTCACTTTAATGTACTGTACTTTGATCGCAAATTGCTGTTTTCAGTAAAATAACCTACAGCAGCAGCCATGGTGGCCGTAGCTGTTCAAAAACACACACGTACACAAAAGCCCACATGCTTTTCTTTGCTTTTTATTTTCTGTCATAAGTCTTTTCTTAGACTGCTGCCCCCTGCGACCCGGTTCCGGATAAGCGGAGGAAAATGGATGGATGGATGGATGGAAGTATTAATTCTGGTTTGTGTGAAAATCAGTACTTGGTCTGTTTCAGCTGCAAATATAATGGGCTGAACTCCCCCACAATATAAAGTCACAATATAAAGTAATGCCTTCTGCATCAGTTTTAGTTGTACATGATTTTAGAGCAAAGGACTGCATGTAAACAGAAATTGTCATTGTGAGCATGTTGGCAAAAAATAAAGGGAGAAAGGACCTGGTAGAGTTTAGCTTTCTGGGACTCATCCATTTCCCTCAGTTTCTCTCTCTCCCTTGTGTCTTTGTCTTTTCCATGTACAGCTGAGAAAGTATAAAGAGCAGGAAAAGATGAGATGCAGATTTATGGGAAATGAAACTCCATGCCCTAGAGATGACATCTCAAGTGGTTATCTTTTACTACTGACTGCTATTAAATAAGAAAAGTGGGTCAGTCAAAGTGAGGTAACATAAGTGGCTATTTGCCTGGTACAAACAGTGTTGTTGTAAATCTAATTCAAGGACATACAGGACATACAGAAAATAGAAATACCGTTTCTCTCTCACCTAGTATTGGGTGCCATAACATTTAGGAACTAAAATAGAGTAAAGTAGAATAAAAATAGAATAGAATTGAACAGAATAAGAACTGGATTATATAATTAGGATAAATCTAAATGGTACAGCCAATAAGCTGTGACTCAAAACCGTGTACAGTCAGTGACAGTAGTGCAAACAATAATAGGAGATTGTCAGATGGTTCAGCATCACCAGGGCGTTGGTGATGAGGTGCAAATAGCATATGAGGTATACATGGACAGTATTGCAGATGACCAACAGCAGCAGATGAAAAAAAAAAAAAAAAAAAAAAAAAACTGTCAGCAGCAGATTTACATATAACAGAAGGTAAAACAGCAGAGGTAATTTTACCTTACCATGGGTTATTTTATGTTCTTTGCTGTTAATTAATAAAAATGCAAAGCTCACATAAATGTACCTACTTCCTAGTACTCCTCCCGCCTCTAGGGAGCAGTACTAGGATCTACTACTGGGGGCGGGCTACTTTTCCGTGGTCTACCCAGGTCGGTCCCTCCCATCAGACTCTAACCGCGAGAGTCTGTGAGATCGCGAGAGTACACGTAAGGTCCTATGAGATCGGCATTTTAGTTGCATGAAGGTGAAACTGGAAGCATTATATGCAGATTAACGACATGGATTTCGTTAAGCAGGACCACTGCACAAGTGGGATTAAAGAAGAGAATCAGGACCACGACTACAAGAGCGCAGTAAAAGAGGAGAACCAGGACCACTACGTAAGTGAAATAAAGGAGGAGAACCAGGCCCACTTCATAAGTGAAATAAAGGAGGAGAACCAGGATCCGGATTTCATTCACGAAGCCCACTACGTAAGTGAAATAAAGGAGGAGAACCACGATCCGGATTTCATTAACCAAGCCCACTACGTAAGTGAAATAAAGGAGGAGAACCACGATCCGGATTTCATTAACCAAGCCCACTACGTAAGTGAAATAAAGGAGGAGAACCACGATCCGGATTTCATTAACCAAGCCCACTACGTAAGTAAAATAAAGGAGGAGAACCAGGACCCGGATTTCATTCACGAAGCTCACTACGTAAGTGAAATAAAGGAGGAGAACCAGGACCCGGATTTCATTCACCAAGTTCACTACGTAAGTGAAATGAAGGAGGAGAACCAGGACCCGGATTTCATTCACGAAGCTCACTACGTAAGTGAAATGAAGGAGGAGAACCAGGACCCGGATCTCATGGACCAGGCTGACAACAAGAGCGGAATGACTGAGGTGAACCAGGACCTGGACCACCGCATCAACGAGTCCGCGCAAAGGAACAAGGCAGACTTGTCCTCTGGTCCCAGCGACCAACAGGTCAGTGTTCTGAGCTTAATAGATGAAAGATCAAGACCACAAACGCTTTAAGGTTTGTTCTTGCATGTTTTCATCGGTGATACAAACTGTTAACAGTTTTTTGAAACGAAGAACGTGATAAACGATCTGTTTTGTGGGGGTGGTGGAGGCCCCACGGGACTGGTGTAGGTCAGTGCTGTTCCAATCGAACGAACCAGTATATATACCCGTATATTTAGTAGGTTCGATACCCAGTCAACAAAAACAGGTGCACACTACTTCCGGGCGACGTAACATAGTGACCAAACGTACGTAAGGACAACGTGAAAGTTTCTATGGCTGCGTCCGAAACCGCATACTGTGACAGTACGTACTGAAAGAGATGAAGTACCTACTTACTGACCGTTAAAACAGTAGGTACTGTATAGTATGAAGCCTGGCAGTATGAATGAGATTCGGACGTACTACATCCGCCATGTTGATACATCACGTGACATACGTTTTCATAGCAGCGTCTTCTTCGTTGGATAACTCCTCTCCCGGGGCATCATGGGATAGTGAAGTGTCCATCGTATGCACACTGCAAAATCCAACCGGAAGCAGTAGGTCATTCGGGTACTTTTCGCCTACTGTTTTTGGAATACTACGAATCCGGACATACTACTCGCATCGCCTACTGTTTTTCGCCTACTATACAGTATGGTAGTAGGCGGTTTCGGACGCAGCCACTGTCTGCGCTTTATTTACGTTTTCAGCACGTAAAAGCCACGTTGTTTATTGGTGGCCACAAGGTCGTGCAAAGGTCATCACTCAACTATTTCCCAGGTAAACACAGCTGCAGCTAATTCAGTAATATCAGCAAATGAGTTAAGAATCCCTTTTGTTTAAGTGTGCGACTCAGAAGCCCCGCTTCATGTTTAATTACCTGTTAATGACACACCAGAATCTAAGACTGGTCATTAACCTGCTGGGATTATTAAATTAAATGCAACTGTTAAGGTTTGCCAGTGAAATAGGTCAGAGAAAATGACCTCTGATCGGCCATGCTTGTTCCATTACAGTTATGTACAGGGAGGACATGAACTCCAGGGCCTGCATGTCCTCATTTGTCCATCAGGTCTTTTCAAGGATTAACTAATCACCAGCAGGGAAATCGGCAGCAAACCCTTTTGAAGGGGATATATTTTAAACAGCACAATTTATGCAAAACAGACACATTTTCAAAATGTGTCATTGTCCTCCTCTTTCATTAAAGAAAACCAAGGGACGTGTTTTGATTTTCTTACCAACTTACTATCAAACTTCACCTGATGTGATTATATAGTATTCTGTGTTTGAAAGCAGTCCACCTTTATTATTGTTATATCTACAGTGTTGTAAACATCTGTGTGTAATATCGTGACCCAGCTCCTTTGCTGCAACAGAAATGTGACACTGATGTGAAAATTGCCAGCAAAAATAAATGTATTACTCAAAAGATATTGGCATGAGGCGTCTTACTCAGCCACGGGGCTGCATGTTATGTATGGTGAGGCATCAGTTGGGCTATTTGTGATACCGGTGGTAAAACAATACTTTTAAAACAGTGACAGAACTGATCCTTTTTTAAAAGGCCATACATTTCATATCTTGAAGGCCATGTGGACTTCAATTTCATACATTTTCACAGGCCAGACCTCAGCGATCAGTAGACCTGAAAAGGAAGCAGACACACCCACATGCACCAACAGACACACCTGAAACACACACTAGACGAAAACATACTAAACAGACACACACTGAATGGGGGCTGTCACAGATGAGTAACATAAACATGACTTGTACTGTTCATTCATAGCAAAGGAACTTCCCCATCTCTTATTGGGTCCAGCAGCCATCGCTGATCCTGTGGTGGTGGGCGGATCGACCTAAAGTATCGATACCAACCTTGGTATCAGTGTCGATTGATACTTGCGTATCAGTTTCTCTTTTCTACATTGAGTACACAACCCGTTACACCATAGTGGTTGTGCAAACACCACTCCTCTAGTGATGGCTGTCTGACACCAGTGCTCCGAAACTCGAAGCAGCATTTTCCTTGAACCACAAAGCTTGCTTTAGTGCAGAAAAAGACGGTGACCGATCAAGTCTGAATCACGTGACTATACCAGTTGATACTGCTTCATAGCACGAGATGCTTAGTAATGCGAAAAAATATAGTTTCTCAATAAAAATCTTTGAATCTCCATCCCACTTACATAATCACACCCTGCCCTAAACTTCTAAGTTTTTTTTCAGCATACCTGAAATGGTTCAATACCAGTTCATCACTTCAGTTGCACATCACTACGCTCCTCTCACTTCACTCATGCTCACTTTGCTTTTCCCCCTCTCCTGCTGTGAGTTGTTGTCGTGCAGTTAACTCAATGATGTTCTGCTGGCTGCATGATGGCAGAGAAAAGGGGGAGTGCTGTTTGGAGCTATTTTACAGCTGCAGACAAAAAACAAATTTTGCGGTATCGTGCACCACTATGATCCTGTGACGGTTACACAGTGGAATGTTGGGGCAGCATTTACCGTGGTTAGTCTGGTTGAGCCAGTTACTTTGGCTAAGATGTAAACAGCCCGCTGCGTGTCCATGTCCTGCACGGTGTATTTTACTGTGAATAGTTTAACAGCTTTAGGTTCATAGTTTAATCCAGCTTCAGTAGTTTACTGTGTTTACTTGAAGCCTTTAAACATGACAGTGCCACGTGTACATTTGCACACTACAAGCTATAGATACAAAGAACAGACAGAAAAAATATGGCTGCTTTTTACAAAAATGTATTTGAAATGTATAACAAATGAGGTGCACGTCTAGACAGGAGTGGATGAATGGTTTTCAAATGGGCTCATCAGAATCAGCTTTATTGGCCAGGTGTGACGGACACACGAGGAATTTTACTCTGGTACATCGGCTCTCAATGTGCAAACAGTAAGGCAGAATAAGGCTGTGTAATATAACAAAATAGCAGTATTAACATCAACAAACAGTGCAAACATTGCAGAATAAGCAGTATAAACAGACAGTAAAACAATGCAGACAACAACGGAATGTTCATTGAAATGAGATAAGTAGGGATAAAACAGAATACTTAAAACTAGAGACCTGTACAAGTCTGTATAATCTGTACAAGGTATATTTACAGGTATTTCAATGAGGGTTATTGTCCAGTCATACTGTCGTGGGTTAAGTGTTCATCAGAGCAACAGCTTGGGGGAAGAAACTGTCCCTGTGCCTGGTTGTCTTAGTGCACAGTGACCTGTAATGCCAACCAGAGGGGAGGAGTTCAAACAGATTGTATCCGGGGTGTAAGGAGTCTGCAGTGATTGTCTCCACCCTCCTTTGGACCCGTGAGGTGTACAGGTCCTCCATGGTGGGCAGGCTCACACCAATGACCTTTTCTACAGTCCTGACTGACTGCTGAAGTCTGTACTTGTCCTGTTTGGTTGCTGAGCCAAACCAGAGAGTGATGGAGGTGCAGAGAACAGACTCGATGATTCCTCTGTAGAACTGTATCAGCAGCTCCTGGGGCAGGTCTAACTTCCTGAGCTGGCGCAGGAAGTACATCAGTATAATAATAATGCAGTGTTTTGTAAATGACCGCCCTGTGTATATGTGTGTTGTGTCTTGAGGTGGCTGGGG